GATGCCTACACCACCACGCAGGTGTACCATGAGCGGGTCAACACCCACGTAGCTGAGAGCCACTTTGACTACACGGCCCACGGCGTGCGTGACGTCTCCAAGGAGCTGCTGGGCCTGGCTGAGCATCCGGCCACGCGCCTGCGCTTCACCAAGTGCTTCAGCTTTGCCAGCGCTCGGGCCGAGGCTGCCTACCTGGCGCAGCGGGCACGCTTCTTCGGCCAGAACGAGGGGCTGGACGACTACCTGGAGGCACGAGAGGGCATGCGGCTCCAGGATGTCAACTTCCAGGAGCAGCTGATGGTCTTCCCTGAGCCAGGGCGCCCTCCCTGGTTCGCCCGGCGCTGGGCCTTCTGGGCAGCCTCGCTGGCGCTTCTGTCCTGGCCGCTACGGGTGCTAGCCGGGTACCGCACAGCCAACGTGCACTATCACGTGGAGAAGCTCTTTGGTACTGAGGATGGGCCCGGCTCCCAGGAGCCCTCTGGCTACGGGCGCCCCATCCCACGTGTGGCCACGGTGGACATGACAGAGCTGGAGTGGCACATCTGCTCCAACCGCCAGCTGGTGCCCAGCTACTCAGAGGCGGTGCTGATGGATGCTGCCATGGCAGGCGGTGCCTACCTGCGGGGCTGGCAGCGCTGCCGTCGTACGCTGAGCAGCAACTCGCTCCCCTCTTGCAGCACCCGGGCCCTCTATGCCCGCCTGCCCTTCAGCCGCAGCCGCTTCTCGCTGGGCCGGAGCATCTTCCGCAGCCTGAGTGGGGGCGGGACAGAGAGGCAGCCCCTGGGGAATCCACCCTGCTACCACGACGCCCTCTACTTTCCGGTGATCATCATGCGCAGTGGGGAGACGTGTCCCCCACAGGGCACCCCGGGCACAGCGGCTGGGACGCCTCTCTGAACTCAGAGCACAGCCAGGAGCATGGATGGATGCCCAGAGACAGGAAAAAAACAACTAAGCTACCCCCGGGGAACAATTGAGCCTCCTTCCCCTACCCCGGGGACCCCAGTGCTTGTGGCACACAGGCCCTGGCTGAGTTAGAACAAGGGGAGCCACTTCACAGCAAAACCAGTGTGTGCTCTCAGCTCCCCAGGTGTAGATCCAGTCACTCACTGAGGGCTACGGGGTCAGGGCTGGATTCTGATCTCAGCTCCTGTGGGGGGAATTGGATTCCAGAGGTTAGACTGAGCCCAGGGCTGGGATAGGGACATTGACAGACCTGTGCAAAGGGGGAGCCTAGGGCAGGGGGCAGCCTTCCCCAGGTGTGCCAGATGTGCAGGAGGGGATGGGACTTCCCTTGGAGGTGACTGGGGCTGCCCTAAATCCCTGATAGTTGGAGGACCTTGATACTGTGGGTTCGGTGCCTCACCCCTCCCTCCCCAAGGCTGGGACCCCCATGGCAGAGTGAGGCTGGGGGATAGTTTAATTTCCTCTCAAACCTCCCCCCAAAGTATCTATTCTGCCCTGGCACCCCTCTCTCCCTGAGGCTGTGCCAAGGGGTTGGTGGTTAAATGGTGCATGCCCGGGCAGGCCTGGCTGGAGTGAGCGTGACAGTGAATAAAGTGACACAAACCCACAGCAGAGTCTGGGTGTGTGGCTGTGCTGCCTGCTTCTGGAGAGGATGAGCCAGGCCATCTGTCTGTCCCCACTGCTGCCCACTGTTGGAGGGGACAGCTGTGCTGTGTCAGTCTATCGCCCCTTGCTGAAGCCCTGCGTTCTCTGGGTGTTGGTGTCTGCTGCCCCGTTGGAGAGGATGAGCCTGGCTCTCTCTCTCTCTCTCTCTCTCTCTGTGTGTGTGTGTGTGTGTGTGTGTGTGTGTGTGTGTGTGTGTGTGT